TTAAGTAAGCACGTAGTATCAGTATGACACACTGTGTACAGTTTACATAGTTCACATAGTTTTCCACTGGGTCTGTCAGCTCACCCCTAGCACAGTGTTTGTTTGTAACGAACATGAAGCCAGTTCTTAAAACAAACCACTACAGTATGAAGAGGCGTGCCCAGTACGTATCAGTTTTGATTTAAGTGACATGTTTATGTGGGCCAAGGGAGACTCACTCGGTGTGGGCGGGGTGGAGGAGATCATTTTGCCGGCTCTGGATCTCTTCCTGTGCTCTCCAGGGCGGTGTTGCGAAACATACATAAACAGAGTCACAATGATTGGTTACTGGACAGCGTTCACAAAGCACTGGGGTCGTAAGGTCATGACAAGAGCAGCTGCAGGTGCGTGTGCCAGGTTGGGGAGAGGGCAGGTGAACGCCTCCGTGCCTCTGTGTCACACTCCTCAGCAGTTAAATACAGGGCAGCAGGTCGATTGGATCGGATGATCTTTGCAGCTCTGGAGCAGGAGGAGTAGTTCACATGAATTGATTTCTTCCAAAAAGCGTAATGGTGCAGGGGAGGGAGATGATTTAACAGGCCATCAAAACCCACACATGCCTGTACACAATATGACTGAGCACTGCCTGTCAAAACACAACCACACTCACTTTCAGTCCACTGTAGTTTATGTCCGTCACAGCTGAAGCATCATTTGTCTCAATGGCCACTTGTGATTACCAAGAAAACTATCTTTCTTTGCTGCTGGCTTTCAACAGTATGGTTAAAATTTTGGGGAGAGAAATGTTTAGTTATTTAAGCGATTACATAATCAGGATTATGACCAAGTTATCTTTATATACAGTCTATGGTTATAAGTTAAAACCATAAGACAAAATTTACTCCAACTCAGAATTATAAGATACTAAACATACATATATTAAGTGACAATTACAAGAAATGAATTTAAAAACCAAGGTTACAACTAGGAGATAAGCAAAAGTTTACTTTATAAATCAAATTTATAGAATATAGGATAAATCAAAGCAGTTTTTAAAATCATGACTATACACTGATGAGCATAACATTATAACCACTGGCAGGTGAAGTGAATAACACTGATGATCTCATGACAATGACACCCGGCGCAGGGTCATCAACACCCAAGGCTCACTGATGAGGTTGACCTACTGTAGGTGGAACTTGTACATTTCATTCATCCTTTTCAAAAGATTCCATTTAGTGGCTCCTAATGTCAGAGATAGCTCAGACGTCCTATGGTCTTATGGTAGAGAACTGCACTCAGCACTTTGCTACCAACCTGGGGTTTTGGTAAACCATGATGAGAATGGAACATCTACATACATCCCGGTTTTTCTTTGACACATCCTTAATCTGTATGTGACTGCAAAGTTGAACAGATTTAAACTCTGTGTTCTTATGCTTTATCACATCCGAGGTCTGATTGTCATTTGTCACACACATAAACAAAGCTGCAGTCCCTGGGTGGGCCTTACTGTCTTTGACATTTGAGCCACAGGGTGACAGCAGACTGAGTCAGAGAGACACAGCGCCCCATCCAGAGGGGACGACATGCAGCTCGCCCCTCAAGTGCTGCCAACAAATAATTCATACTGGTAACATTTACTTTGTTCAAACACTGTCCGCTCTCTATCCACTGCCCTGGCTGTGAACCTCAAAGTCCCCATCTGAGGTGAATGAAATGTCAAGTGCAGAGGTAAATACTGTAGGTATACAGAAGCTTTTAAAGTTTAGAGGCCGTGAAGGAAAAGGTTAAAAAAGACCCTGAGTGCTTGGTAAACAGTTCACCTGGATGAAAAGTGGTTTAAAAAATTCTTCATAATGTTTAAAGAAATAAAAAGCTGTAGCACGAGATCCACTTTAATATGCAGTAGATACCAGTGTGTTAACTTTACAGAAGTCCACTTCTTAAATAAATAAGAAGACAAAAGCACCCTCTGAAATTTAATTTCAGCCAATGACATAACCCAGAGGTGTCAGCGAATCTAAGGCTGCATTGGGAAACATCACATTTTTGCAGCTGCACACGAGGACGCTGAGGTTTCAAGACCTCGATTCCCAGAAATGATGTAACATCACATCATTATAACTAAAACTGCTGGGACCACAAAAGGACAGAGGGCGTACTGCTGCTTAAAAGCAAAGTTACCCACCAATTTGTTTTCATATTGTTTTAACTCAGAGGTTCATTTAGTGTTAAAAAGACAGAGTTCAGGAGGAACGATCCAATCACAAAGCATCGTTCTTCACCTTCTTGAGAGTGGTCTGCTCGATGGACGGAGGTCTTCTGCTCCGTGAGCAAAGGCACAGTCTTGGGCCTGCAGCGGGCAGCCCTGAGGGTGGTGGATGTGAAACCAGCAGGGACGGGTTTTTATTGCGCCGGGGGCGACGGGTTTCCATTTGGCATCAGCCACGGAGGATTTCCTTTCCTGCCAGTTCCTTATACACACCCTCCCTCCCTCCACTGAAAGAAAAGAAAAGAGGGCAATAACAAGACCTCTTCAAAAATAAGCTGCTCCTCCCAAATGCTCCAAATAAATCTGTTCTCATAGAAAAGCAAAGCAGAGGGGATATTTTGGGCATCTAGAAGCAAACAACCTGTTTACTTTCTGCATGCCACAGATAATGAAACTCACCCAGTTGAATCATCAGTGCACAGAATGAGTCACTGTGTTAGAAAGTACCTTACTTTTATGAGGGAGAATGTAACAAAAGTCCTGGCTGGATCCAAACACAGGATGCTGCCAGACCACCAGGCAGCTCCAATGTGTTGTTCTTTGATAGCACGACTCTGCACTATGTGCATAAAAACTCAAAGACTAATCTCGTTTGTGCTGCAGTGATGTACAGGTGTACTCCAGGACGTCACCACTGGGTGTGGTTACAGGTGCAACAAAGGGTGTGCATCAAAAATATTTTTTGAGGTGGAACAATCAAGCCAATTTAAGCTGACTGTTCAATTGGCCATGATGTCATCACTGTGACATCATCACTATCACGTATTTCTGTAGCAGTGCTGTAAATGACTCCTCATCGTGCTAGCAGAATCACAGCTCATCGCCACACTACATTTTTCTTTGCTGAATCTGCCGACCTATCTCCTGTCTGATCTCCATGGAAACTGGGGTGTAACGCACATGCAGATGCGTCATGAACTTTAGTTCCGCTTCTCTACAGCATAAAAAAAACCATATCCATAGATATTATTTTAATTATTTTAATTTCTGTATTCAACAACACCGACCCTCTCAGCTAATCGAATAATTGATTATTCATGTACATCCCTACACACAACAGTGTAACGCAGTTAACTTTGGCATCCCGGGCTGTGTTGTACCCGCTGCTGCTTCAACGGCCAAGGTACGCCGTAACAAACTGATAGAAAATCATCATTTCTAGAGACCAAATAAATGAAATCAACGGACATAACAAAGACCTATACTCTTCTTAAATTATGCAGGAGATTTTGGTGTTTTTATATCGAGTTACGGTCAGAATATCTTTAAAAAACGATACTAAAACGGGACTTTAGTGCAGTAAAAAGCACAGAGAAAGATGGTAAGTGAATTTTGAGTTAACATTGTTTTTGTCATTTCTTGTTCTTCTACATGTTCAGTGAAGTTTTACAGCTGTTTACTTTTCAATTTAACGTGGACTAACTGTGAAGGTGTAGAGAAGGTGCAGTCCAGCTACCTCTAAAGACTTGGTGGTTGTTCTTGAGCAGCGTCTGAAGGCCTCCACACTCCTTCTTCAGCAGCTGCAGGGTTTCCTGCTCCAACAGCCCAGCGACCTCGCTCACAGAGAGACTGCCTGAAGAGGAGGAAGAAGAGTAGAAGGAGATCTGTCAGTGTATTAGCAGACAGCTTCAGGCATGCACAGAGATATTTTTTATCCACTAAAGAAAGGAGCATCTGATACAGCTGACTGAGTCAATGTCAACGGTTGTTTTGAGAGAGCGAATGATCAATGCTATATAGAGAACGTTTCACAGGGAGAGAGAAACGCACTCAGTCACTGTCTTTCAGTGTTATTCAGGGCTGTGAAGTGTGTGCAGTAAAAGCTACTCAAACAAGCTGTCAGAGCAACAAGCATGCATTTCACCGCTGCATCTCCCACCGGCCATTTGAGAGCGTGAGTCACCGGCATCACTCCCCCACTGGAACAGTAAATTTAGAAACCATAGAACAAAAAAGGAAAAAAGAAGGCTACCGAAACACACAAAGTCCTGAGCTCTGATTTTAGTGAATGGTAAGCAGATAAATAATGTAGCCACCCCCCCTCCCCTCCCCTCCCCCAACCTCTGGGTTCCGTTTCATGAGATTTATGGAATCTTTGCCCTTCTTTCCCCAGAGAGAACTCAATCAGGGCTGACCTTTGGTTTGTACAAATGACAATCTTCTACCTGTTTCCTCTGACATATTGGAGAGGGACACACCAGAGGATTTCTAATGCTCCTTTGGGCTGTTTCATAATGATATTTGACCTAAATATGCAGACGCCTTAGCGCCTTCATCGTACTGTACATTTACACCAACTCCCTGGTGGCACTTCAGGCTGCCTCAGAGATTATGGTCTGTGGGAGAATGTTGCTTTGGATTAAATTCAGTTGGTCAAAGAAATAAATGTACTAATGCAGTTTTACTTCATTCATTTAAAATTTTACACTAAATAAACTAAATTTGAAACTATGTCTGCTCTTTAAAAACTCTTCCACTGAAATTAATCAAATTAAAACATATTGTCCACCCAAATTTAGCTGGTCAAACTGCTGAATTAGTCCCTAAAATATGCAGCACACTCCCACATTCACAGACACTTGCACAGCCAAGAGCAGCCCTGCGATGCTGAACGTGAAACTGGGCAGACTGCCGTCCCACAGCCCAGACGCCAGGGAGATCCAGGCCGTAACAGAATATCAATACACTGGTTGGAGCTGCCCTTTACTGCCTACAGTGTTAATGGGGATTAATGGGAGAAGGGCAGTATTGACAGAGTAGATTCTGCTTGGACTAAGACCAGGAGTAGATGGTTATTAATGGCTCAGCTTGATGTACAGTTGGACTTATTTAACGCTGAAAACCCCCTGTGGAAAAGATGGCCACAATTGATTGCATGTTGTGGAGGAATGGTTTTGCTGCTTTAGCCAACTCAGAATGAGGCTCTGAAACCGTTGAGTCGTGAATAAAACATTTGAAAGGAACATTTTCAGGTACCAGGAGCACAGCTGTAATAAAGGATTACTCCAGTTTCCATTTAATCATCTTTAAAATGTGGAAATGCTCACAATGTGTGTATTACAGTATAACATCCAAACTCAACCTGGGAGTGTGAGCGACTAAGCAGTAAGTAAAGAAGAACAAAAACTAATTAATGCAACACAAAATGTCAAAACACTGGACTCAAAGAACTATTCACATAAACCCAGTCTGAGAGAGGAACACCGCGTTTTGCCTATAAATGATCACAAGCCAAACACAATTAGGACACAATGCACCATCACACTGTAATAATAATAATAATTAGATCAAATATTCCACTTGCTCCAGATTCTAAATGTGAATATTTGCTGGTTTTCGGTCTTATTCAACAAAGCAAGCACTTTGAATGTGTGAGGGTCAATTTTCACTATTCTCAAAACATTTAATACATTAAATAGTTAATCTATAAGGAAAAGAATTGTTTGTTGCAGCTCAAACAATAACACACCCAAAACAGCAACTTGTCAAAACGACCACACTCCCCAGTGTGAATACAACAGCAAGACGTGCATTACTGTGTGTACAAGCGCAGGTAAAACCAGCAGGTGTGGAGGATGATGGTGATGCTGGGGAGCACAACTCACTGCTGGGTCTTCTGTGAACCTCAAGTGTGACGGGAGGCGCCCACCCCCTTCATAACACTCCACCCACTCCCTCTTCTGTGCAAGCTGTTTCTATATTACAACTCTGGAAGAGTATAAAGCACGTTTCTCTCAGACACTTGCTGTATTCTGTGCTTTACAAAAAGGGCATCCAAGAAAAGTGTTGCAGAATGTTATGTGTGTTAAATGTACAGCTGCCGTCGTTCTGAGCGTGATTACATAACCACATGAGCCCAGTCAGCGGTGCAACATGTATAAATTAGCTACTTCGATTCTTGAAACATAATTTTAAATCTAATAAAACATGCCTAACTGCTCAGTGCATCACAGAACTCTGACTATAATATGGTCCAAAGTTAGAAAGCAAAGGAAAAGTCAGGAAATGTCTGAGTCAACAAGCCTGAGAGTCAGACAAAGCTTTCTACAGGCTGGCTGCTCTCTTTTATATGGCATAGAAATCTGTTTTCTCCTCTTAGTTTATGAGCTAAATGTGCATCTGACATGTTTGCATTTGCAGTGAGAGAGAAAGTGAGCGCTCTGGAGCAACTGGTAAATATGTTCAACAAAAAGTGGACTGGCACCAGAGCCACGAAGCTTCACAACTAAAATTCTGCACAAGTATTACTTTAATATTAAAAAATGAATGGATTATAATATCAATAATCCCCTTAGTTGTTGAAGAAGCATTAAAAATGAAGAGAAGCTGAATCTCAAAGACCTTTTGATGACTCCGACGTCCTCCTGGATCTATTGAATATAGGCCGACTCACACTGACAGAACCCTTTGTTCTTACACAGCAGATAACTGGTAGGAATACCTCAATACAAATGCATACTCATGCATAAATCATAGCTGGTGGTGCATTATTCATCCAGTCACTTCTGTACAGAGTTTCACTCTCTCTTTATTCACTCTGCGTATTTTCTGCCTCTAATTTCAGCCCTGACATCCTGACAGAGAACTTTCAGCTTTAATCAAAGTAGTCCTCATCTCCGTATCTCATTCATATTGTGAGTCTGTGTGCTAGCGGCAGTGCAGAGGAGCTGGCAGAGGTGATGTGTGGGTGGTGTGTGAGTGAAGCAGTGTGCATATGCGTGTGATGTGTGGCACACTCCGTACTGTGTGGTGCAGGAAGTGGCTGACGGAAGGTGAGATACAGAGTTCAAAGTGGTGTCTCTCTACGGCGCGGAGACCCCGCCGACTAATGCCAAAAGGGAACAGGGTGGTGGCAAGAGAGTAGGGGTTAGATAGGCTGATGGCGGGAGCAACAGACGGGTTCATAAGCTCTCAGTGTGCCACAATGCAGCCAGAAGTACCTTTTAATGCACTGACAGTAAAAGCGAGAAGTGATTCATGCACCATTGCTTTGGAGGTGTTCAGTCAATACTGGCCTACAAACACAAAGCACAGCAGCTACATATTTTATTGAAAGCCAGTTAAAAATAATTGTTTTACATTTTGCAAAACATGCTTATTTGCTTGCAGAGAGATGATCAATACCACTCTCATATCTGTCAGTTAAGTATGTGGCTATATCCAGCAGCAGACGTTAGCTTACCTTAGCATAAAGAATGGAAACAGCCAGCCTGGCTCTGTCTGAAGGTGAGCAAATCTAATTTATTAATACATTATACCTTCTTTGATTAATATGCAGAAAGCCAAAGTGTAAAAATTACATCAACTGCTTCCAGTTAAACCAACCTCAGTCGTCTGTATCCAACTCTCTGCCAACAACCTAATAAACCCATTTTCACTAAATGTCTAACTATTCCTATAAGGCTTCAATCAGACTGTTACATCTGTTTTGCCACAAGTATTATGACAATGTTTCTGTGAAAACAAATTTTAAATTTATAGTTCCTACAAAACAGATGAAAACCAACCCACAGTACACGTGATGTCGCCTTGTAAGAACTACACAAACAGCCCACTAGACAGCGACACGATGGCTTTATCCATCAAGCCAAAACTAGTCATTGCACATGAACTAAATGAGGCAGCAGTTAAGCCCAATCATGGTAAAGAAAAACCCCCAGATAAACCTGAGACTAACATAACTAGCTTACCAGATCTCAGTAGCTACCACCTCAGCTTTTCAGAGTATATTAAGCATTTTGTTGATTCTGAGGCAATGATTTCCAGGGGCTAACGTAAACAGCCTTAAAGTCACAAAATTAAGGCTTTACAACCTTTGTTATCTGTTATGCAGCTTTACCCGCCAGCCGGAAAACTTCACTGCTTATGTAGCTACGAATCTCTTCCTCTCTAGGGCAGCTATGCAGATATAATAAGACTGGATCAGCACACTTCACACAGATAATGCATCCTACAGTGGATTTAATCTGAAGCTGTTCACGTCTTAGTAGCAGCTGGTGTCCAGGGAGACTTGTGTGATTTGTTTGTTTATCTTGGATGTTTTTTAGCTGTTGTCAGGCTGCAGCTTACCTCCTTGGTTCCATTCGTCGGAGGATGCCCCGCTGTCATTCTCAGTCATTCCCAAAAGAACATTCGCAACCTGCGAGACAACGCCATCAACAAAGTCCCGGGGGAGAGTGGTGCAATTTCGAACCATTTCGACCCTGTTTCGGGGCTGGAACCCGGCTCCCCAACTGCTCCTGTGGGTCCTGTCACTGTCTGCATTCCCATGGCAACAGCCCCCATCACTTCTTATGTTTGACCCCTGACCTATGAGCCCACAGCTGGTCCGGTGCCTCTGGATATAATGAGCTCGTCGCTGCTCTGCGTCAGCCTCCGCAGACAGCTGGTAATTTCTCGACTTTCCTACCAGACACACCTGCAGAACGAACAAGTGAATGTCAGGTGGGCTCCTGTGGATGCTGAGGCCCGAAAGCGGTAAAGCTAGAAACTCAAAGAAATGACAGCGCTTCTTTTCAATAAGTGATGTAGTGTTGACAAAACAAGAACAATTATGGCAACACAATACAATTAATTTTGGACATATCTACTGATTTTTGGGAGGAAGTAAATTATTTTTTCAGTAAATTCATAAATAACTTTCTTTAATACAACTTTCTACAAAGACAAATAAATAAATTAAAAACTAAATAGCTAGTTTTCTTCCAATACTGCTCCCATGTGTGAAGAAACAACAGCTTTTGTATCCATGACCAAACTGATTATGATTGATTAAAAGCCTAGTAAACATTTGCTTGTTCTTTTTATGTGTCCATATGTATTATAGCTATTAATGGCTACCAGCTACAAAACAAACGCCCCTCTGGGGACAACAAACGCTTGATTTATTTCTGTCTGTCTGTACTAAATGAGGCTCAGGTGGGGGAAAGGCAGGGACACACAGATGTGCCTGGTTGAGCAACAGGAACACATTTTATGATGTAACGGCTCCTTGGAAAATATATTCATGGCATCTCTGCTTTGCTGCAAAGTCACAGTGGGAAAAGACAATAATAATCGTAGAAAAACAAAGATGACAGACAACAAAAGCCCATGAATCAAATCTACGACTTTACAGGTGTAAGGTACATTCACTGATCAAGAAACCAGGATGCAGCCTTAACGTCTCACCACTAACTAGCACCGTGCAGCCTCTGTACACTCTGCAAATAATATGAAACATTACAAGAGTCTGAATGTGTACGATATATAACAACAGACCAAATACTAGTACTACTACTCACTACTCATCCTAGTAGAGCCAGACAGGAAACACAGGGAAACAGTGAGAGGACAACAAAGGTGTAGGGACAAAATAAGTCAGGAATAGTTTTGTAAAACAGACTAAAAGGAGGAAAGACAATAAAAGGTGTAAACCACACAACATGACATTCATTTACATAACATTTAGGAGGTCAAACACATGAGCTGACTGTGCAGTGAGCCTACCCGTTTGGTGGACGGTATTCTCAGGCAGTCCTCTTCAGTGTTGAAGCCACTGACTTGGCTGACATCAGCGATGAAGTCAATGTATTCTCTATACTGAGACTTCTTACACTGGCGCCTCTGGTATTTCCCATAGAAGTCAAAGAAACAGCAGGGAAGGGCGAAATAACGGCAGGAGTGAGACGACCTGCGGTATGAGAGCAAACACAGAGTGTCAAAATGAATTTTTGGTGTCGCTGAGTGAATAAAGCGACCGACCTGCCACGTAATAATGCTCATTTCCTGTTCCAAGGAAAAACATACGATACACTAGACATAAACATTATATAAAGCTCATATCCTGACTGGCCACTTTATTAGGTACACCTGTATGACTGTAAGCACCCAAATACAACACTTCCACCTTAACATTTGTGTTTCTGAAGCATCAAAATGTCTCAGTTTTTGGTGAAACTGTCATAAATGTATAAATTCAATTAAATGTTTATTACTGAGGTCACAGTTAAAGGTGGTGGTGTACTGAACTACATTTTATGGTGTTCCAAGTACTAGGACCTCTCATGTATGTAGCTGGGGAGGACACAAATCTAGACACCTCTGTATATAACTGCATACAACTGTACAAGTGTAATAAAGTGGCCGGTGAGTGTACATTAAGTTCTAGAGTCACTATAATCTTAAAAGAAACTGAACTGTGTTGAAGAAAACTAGAGGCAGAGACTTAACAAAAGTGAAGATGAATTAAAAATGTGTGACACAATCATCATATTTAGGGAAATGTTAAAAAATAACATGTTAAATTTAATTTCTGTGTTTATGGATGGCACATTTTTCAGTGAAATGATGGTTCGTTCTGGAGAATCTGCCAGTTATTTATGATTTATTTACTCTCAGTATAAAGAGGGAAATATATGTGGTATCTAGGTCAATGTAGAAGAATTCAGCCTGCTTCGTTTCCGTCTCACTTTAGAAAACATAACATATCATAAATAAAGTGTTGACTCTTGGTCAGCCAAAGAAAATAATGATTATAAATATTCAGTGACTCGTGTTCATTTCAGTGTTTCTCCATCTGTGGCTAAGGTTGTGAAATTGTTCAGGAGACAGGAAACAATCCATTATAGGAGATAATCATCTGTAGTAGGTTTCCCTGACTGAGGCTCAACAGCGCCACCAGCTGGTTGCCTTAATAAACACACACTTGTTCAGTAACAAGGACAAACACACACACACACACACACATTCACACATCCTCCCTCTGCCCATCAGGTTACTCCAAATTGGAGAGATCAGCTGGCACTTGAGCTGCTGTGTGAGATTGTGTGTGCTGATGACTCGCCTCGCTGCTATAACGGGGATCCATGGCGTGAGCTCATCTGAGTGGTTCCCAATCAGCCAGTCTGTGCTTGGGAATAAGAAGCTCTCGCTGGGAGTAATTGCCTTCTCCTGAAATAGCAAAGACCCAAAAAGCACAAGAGTTCCTGAGAGCATGGTGCTTCTGAGTCGCTTAATGGAAACTGTCTGAACAGGAAAACTTTTTATCCTCTAATAACATATCACAGAACAGTTGTCGATATGATATAGGCACAAATAAAATCAGTTTTTAACTGGTTGGTTGTGTAGATTCAACCTCTTCTCAGCTGATAGAATCCAAAACACATTTTACTGACAAAACAATGATTAATAACACAATCCCAGCTAATCCAGCTAAGAGTACAGTGTGTACTGAATCCGGTGCCCCGGGGCCTGGACACATTCGTCAATAATAGATGACCTGAAATGGAAGCAGTCAGTAGCTTGTTGTCAGATGAGTGACTGGGGCCAGAAGGCAGACGGGACACTGCAGTGTTTGTGGGGTAGATGTGGTGTGTTCACATGAATTCAAAATTCAACATCAGTGTTGTTTTTGTAGCCTCCCAATCAACAGGATCAACTACACAATGTCAATGTTTAATGGCTGTTAAAGCTCCTCTACCTAATGTCTTTTCAGCCTAGGGGGTCTGACACCACCACTCCTGCTTCCTAACAATGACGTAACACAAAGCACTGTTACACAAAGCTTGAATTAATCCCAAATACAAATCGTATCAGAATCAGCTTTATTGGCCAGATGTGTTGGACACATGAACCATATAAGGCTGAGAGATGTTCATTCATCATAAGGTTAGAACTGTGCTAGGTCATCAGCGTTACCGAAACAAACATGTTACCCATCCAGAAGAAAGAATGCCACATCTGAGTCCGATGATAACATTAACCCTGGTTTTCACTCTTTGTCCCACTCTCATTCTGCAAAAGAACGCCACCTCCCCGTTTTCATCCATTGTTCATCCATTAATAAATTAAATAGTGAAAAACACTTCGATTCCAGAGCCCAAGGTTTAAAATGCTTGTTTTGCCCCAAAATAACAGCTCTAAACCCAAAGATATCAAACCAACAAAAGCAGGAAATGGAAACAGCTAATTCTGTGCATTTCTACTTTAAAAATGCCTTAAACGCTTAATGGATTCTTTAAACTGCTTCAGATTAATATTCTGTGGATCAACCACTAGATTATTCTACTAATTATTTCATCCTCAAAGACTATAATAAACAACTAGATGGGGTTTACTTATGTTAGGTAATGCTTGGCACAAGACCTAGAATGTATTTAAGGCTCATGATTGCTCAGCTGTCACTGTCCTGTTCCCAAGATCTGGTCAAAAGCTCCAGAGCAGCTGTTAAATGGATTTTAATATAATGTTGTTTGGTGAACAACCTCATTTTTGAGTATTTGAGCTTCAATACAAATTCATTTCTTGAGTTTAAACAGAAGATTCAGTAGTTCAACCAAAATATCTTCCCCATTAGTAGCAGTAGGACATAGAAAAAGCAGTGAGAGGGCAGGTGAAAAGACACCTAACACCATGTGATGTGATATGATGTGGATTCCCTGCTTCATGTGGAAAGATAAAAACACTGATTAAAAACCTGAAGAGAGTCACAATTAGTCTCCCAGTTCCTGCTCAGACTGCTCACCTCTAGAAGAGTCTGGGGGCCGTACATGTCCCAGATCTTCCTCCGACGAACATCGATGCCCTTTCCAGGGTGCTGCAACACAGGATGCGTGACAGTCAGCAGCTAATCGCCCTCAGCCACGTTCACAGTATGAACAACTTCAGCTACACCTCTCCCAGCCTGTTATGGCCATTAAGGCAAGATTGTAGCAGATTCATTACACCAGGGGATACGGATCCCCTGACCTGGGCTTCAACCAGCCCTGTGTCATTCATTAAGCTGCCAGTGAAGATCTGGATAGCTGATAAAAGATATTCTGCTCTGTTATTCCTTTCAAAATCAAAAAAGACACATCGCAGTCAACACATGTTACTAAAATACTAATTTTAGTTTTCCTTAATTTTAGTTTTAGCCAATTAAACTAGTAGTCATTCAGTCAGATGGTCCACCACCTTGGGCCAGACTAGACCTGCAACAAGTATTCAGATAATCAGTTTAGCTGGATTTTCAAGCAAAATGCTAAAGATATTTATTTCATTTTTCAAATGTGAAGACATGGTCCTTACTCTTATTATAAATGATAGCAAATGCACTATATTTTGCACTGTTGTTCAGATAAAACAGAACATTTTTGATGCTTCATAAACTAAATGATGTGTTGAGATATTATAGCTAAAAAATAAAAATAACTGTTGATTGAAGCCTTAGTCCAGGTTGAGCTCCAATATGAACATTTACTGATTCATTAAGTGTCACTGAAAGTGAACTGATGACCTTTAAAAGAGAAACATTAATCCAGCCGCTAACTTACCCCTTCATTGGTCAGTATGTGAACCAGGAGGCCGTTTCCACAGCCAAGGTCAATAAAGGACTGTCTGGAGGTCAGATCCTTCTCTACTCGCTCCTCAGCCCACAGCACCTGCACAGCACATTGCCAGAGACTCAGAGCTACTGTGTGTTCAGCTGCCAGTCATTTTAATAAAACCCATTTTACACCTGCAGTGTGACACCTAATGCTGTTGCAAAACTATTCTTCAAGACCCAATTCAAGTATAAAACAGATGTACTTGCCACACAGATCATTGATTTGGGTATTAAAACAACATTACCAGCCAGGTTTCAACCCACCAGGAGATAAGTAGCAATGGCCACATCCTCATAGACAAACTTCTCAGGATCTGTCACCTCAGGCCAAACCTAGATAACATATCAGAAAATGATCCAGAAACATCAGCACCTCCAGTACATACTGTACAGTAAGAGACACACGCAGAGCAGGCTTAAAGCATCCACACTCTTCACCTTGACCATGGATTTGTATTTGTCCTTCAGCTGCTGGTACATGAGGTTATACTTCTCCACTGGCAGCAGAGACAAGGTGCTCCTGAACTCGCTGCTTTTGCACTCGGTGGCCCAGCGCACCAGTTTAGGCAGCAGATCTGAGAACAGCCAGGGCAGTTTGGGGTACACCACGCCATCGGAGAACCAGGCATCTGGAGTCAAGACATACAGCTCCAAGGACCTGCGGGTCAACCCATAGTCCTCAAAAAGGTTGCTTTCTTTCTGGACCACAGAACTGATTCGTTCAGTCTCCAAGACAATTCGTTTTTTTGCTATGTTTGTCAGCTTCATAATACAAACCACACAGTTTGGAACAATTTGAGCAAACATTCTTCATGCTTGTTGCTACCATCGAAAAGTACATTTCCCTGCATGCGTCAGCTTTCATCTGCATAAGAGTCAAATATATGAGCATGGTGACATGACTTTTGATTTCACATCAAGGTTTGTCGCCCATATGCGTTTTGTTTTCCTCAACAATTAAATTGGCATAAGAGCATTACTTGCCACACAAATATTTAATCCATTAGCAATCTTTTATTTTAGTCCTTTTTAAGACATTAAGTACTTCAATGGAAATACTAACATGGAGAGGAAGATTCAGTACTTGTAATCTTATGTCAAATATTCTGTTAATATGTCTGAAAAAAAATATGCCTGCTATTTTGGATTATATTAAGACATTCAGACAATTTTGTCTGGTCTGTAACTCTGTTTGGACTTTGCTGAAGAATGATTTCACTCACCATTCCTCAC